GGATGGGGGGAGGGGGAGGTCGGATTCCCGCCTGGGCCTTGGGACACGTGGGCATCGGAACCTCCCCGCCTCGGGATTCAGGGTGCCTGGGCCCCGCGGGGTGTGTCGGGGGGTCGCCCGCGGCTCCAGTCCAAACTACTGTGTGACCTTGGGCTGGTCCCCCGCCCTCTCTGGGCCTGTTTCCCCGGGAAGGAGGGAGGCATAAGCTCAGAGGAGATTGGAATAGACACCCCTCCTCCCCAAAAGGAGGAGCCTGGAAGTCGTGAGCCTGTGCCCCTTGCGCAGACTGGGCCCACCCACTGCTGCCTGCCCTGGAAGGATTGTCCTGGGGGTGGGGGTGGGGGTGGGGGTGTAGCTGGAGCCCAGGTTTCATCCTGGGAGGTGCTGGGGCAGGTGAGGAGCCAGTGGCTTCCCGGCCATGAGGCAGGGTATCCTTCAGGCGCAGAAGCTCCGACCTGGGTGAGCACCTGGGCAGGTATCCCTGGCCCCTGGTTTCCCCCAGCCTGACTTGGGGGCGGGAGTTGGAGGGCATGAAACCCTTGGCACCAGGAATACATGACCACTCCCCTCCTCCTGCATCTCAGCCTGGCTGGCCTGGGCTTGGGGTGGGGTGTGTGGCTGCAGCTGGCACAGCCAGATGGGGAGGGGCATCTGCAGCTTCAGGGAACAGGCACATCTGGCTGGGGAGGCGGGCACAGCTGGTGGGCCCGGGTGGAAGGAGCCAGGCTAGGGGGCAGCTGTGCCTGCTGAAGGGCTGCCAGGGATGGACTCAGGCAGCGGCTGTGTGCCTTCTCAAAGACGTCCAGTCACAGTGCTCAGTCCTGAGAGACCGGGAGGTGCTGGCTGAGCTGGGGTACTGCCTTGTGAATGGAGTCTTTGGGGCAGCACTACCCACCAGGCTAACCCCTCCTCCTCCGCTGAAGCCACGGGGCCCTGGCCAGGCCTTGCCTGGGACCTGGGTCCGGACCTGCACACAGGAAGGTTGGGCACTGCCCTTTCCCCATGGAAAGCAGGCACTGGAGGGCATTCTGTGAAGGGGGAGTGGGTAGATGGGGGCCCAGTGGCCTTGGGTGGGCTCCCCCCAACAGGCCAGGCTTTGGCCAGCCCTTTTCCAAACCACTTTCTCTGCCACTATCTGGCTACCGGAGCCCCTAAGGAGCCCCTAAGTTGCACCCTGACCCCTCACCTACAGGTGGCAGCAGCTCTGGGGAGGAGGCGGGGTGCGGGGGGAGTCTGAGGAAGCACAGCTGGTCCCCTGGGTGAGAGGGTCCCTGGACACCGCGTCCTGCTTTTTAAGTCATTAAAGGTCAAGAACTCCATCAACATGGAGTAGTGTCCAGCCCAGCAGGGAAGGGTGGCCTTAGGAAATTGGGAGGCCAAGGGCTCTGCTACTGCTCACCTGGGACTCTCATTCTGAGCCTCAGTCTCCCCATCTGTGCATCAGGAGTTGGTCCCAGAAGATGAGTTAGACGGAGTCAGGGGAGGGAAATGGGAGGTGCTTGGCACCATATCCCGGTTAGATTGGCCAGGCCTGGACAGGCCGGCAGCCCTGAGACAGAGGGGCAAATGGGTGGCTTCTTGGCTGGGGGGCAGGACGCATGGGGAGAACTCGAGGAAGATGCTGTTCATGGCCAAGGCCTGGCCAGAGTGGGGTCTGAGTGAGTGTGGGGTGGGTGCTGCCCTGGGCTGCTGGGTGTGAAGGGTGGGGCCCAGGCCAGGACTGGGAGTAGGTTGTCCCTGGTGGCAACTTGAGGCCCATTCTGAGGCCCAGGGCAGATTCTCATTCAGGTGACTGAGAAGTTGAGAATAGACACCCACCACATACCTCCCTGCCCAGTGTGTGCCCACCTACTGCCGCCTGAGCAGTGGAAGGATGGGCATGGGGGGGGCGTTGCATGGATGGGACCCAGGTTTCATCCTAGGGCCTCCGCAGAGGTGCTTGGGGGAGGGGAGCTGATGGCTTTGTGGCTGTGGGCCAAGGTCCTCAAATATAGGATGCTCTGACCTGGCTGGACAGGATCCGAGGAGGGTCAGAACCTGGAACCTTTGGGGTTGGTCCAGCCAGGTAGGTAGTCGGCAGATATTAATTGAGCATCTGCTGTGTGCTGGACCCATACAAGGGACTGGGAAGCCTGCTTGTCTGTGGCACCCACCTTTCAGGGAGGCCACTGTGGTGGAGCCAGGAAAGATTAAGCCTGTGATGAGGGGCTGGCCCCACCTCACTAGCTGCCTCTAGCAGGGCAGCAGGACCGGGTAGGGAGAAGTCACAGGCCCTGGGCATGGATTTCTTCACAGAAGGTATAGATAGATAGATAGATAGATAGATAGATAGATAGATAGATATCAGAGAGGAAGGGAGAGGGAGAGAGAGATAGAAACATCAGTGATGAGAGGATCATTGATCGGCTGCCTCCTGCACGCCCCACACTGGGGATCGAGCCTGCAACCCGGGCATGTGCCCTGACCAGGAATCGAACCGTGACCTCCTGGTTCATAGGTAGATGCTCAACCACTGAGCCACGCCGGCCGCTGTTGCAGCGCCCACTGTTGGTAAGGTGAGGGGTCCAGCAGCCAGAGGCTGGGCAGTGAGCGAGTCTGAAGCCTGACTTCTGTGCGCGAGGTGTCTGTGGTTGGGCGGGCTTGGTTTTATTTGTGCAAGTGACCTGGTGGGGAGAGAATCCATGAGCTCAGGAAATGCCCATGTCCCGGCTGGGGTGACCACCCAGTCCCGTGTGCCCCCGATGGCCCTGCTTTTAGCACTGAGAGTCCCGCATCCCGGGAAACCGCTAGGCCTCTGGCACACCTGGACACTGAGTCCCCCTAGTCCTCCACTTCCTCTCTCTTTCCCCGATGACTTCCTGTTTCACAACAGGAGAGCTGGAGGCCCAGAAAAGTTAACTGATCTTTGGCCTCAGAAAGTCATGATCAGAAATTGAGCTCTGAGGGCAGCTGACTTGACTCGAGCTTGAATCCTGCTTCTTCCTCCTCCTCCTGGCTGGAGCTCTGGCTCCTTTTGTGTAACGTGGAGCCAGGAGTGAAGGGTGGGCTGCCTCCTGGACGGTGGGCGTGGGCAGTGCAGGGGCTATGCTGGCCTTGACCTGACCTCTGCCCTCTGCCCTCTGCCCCGCAGTTGCTGGTTGAGAAGACAACCGACTCACCGGCGGCTGAGTTCTCGCTGGTGGAGGACGTGGCTCTGCACTTCGCCTGCTTGATGGGCCGTCTGAATGAGCAGCGCCTCTTCCAGCCTGACCTCTGCGACGTGGACCTGGTGCTGGTGCCCCAGTGCAGTGTCTTCCCGGCGCACAAGGGCGTGCTGGCCGCCTACAGCCAGTTCTTTCACTCGCTCTTCACCCAGAACAAGCAGCTGCAGCGTGTGGAGCTGTCCCTGGAGGCGCTGGCGCCCGGCGGCCTGCAGCAGATCCTCAACTTCATCTACACGTCCAAGCTGCTGGTCAACGCGGCCAACGTCCACGAGGTGCTCAGCGCTGCCTCGTTGCTGCAGATGGCTGACATCGCCGCGTCCCTGGCCCAGCCAGCTGCCAGCTGCACCCCAGCCCCGCCACCCTACTACTGTGACATCAAGCAGGAGGCCGATACCCCGGGCCTGCCCAAGATCTACGCCCGAGAGGGCCCTGATCCCTACTCTGTGCGCGTGGAGGACGGGGCAGGGACTGCGGGTGGCACAGTGCCTGCCACCCTTGGGCCAGCTCAGCCCTTCTTCAAGGAGGAGAAGGAGAGTAGCGTGGAGGAGGCTGGCGGGCCCCCGGCCAGCCTGTGCAAGCTGGAGAGTGGGGAGGAGTTGGAGGAAGAGCTTGGGGGATCCGGCACCTACAGCCACCAGGAGCAGTCCCAGATCATCGTGGAGGTGAACCTCAACAACCAGACACTGCACGTGTCCACGACGCCCGAGGGGAAGCCGGGTGCTGCCACAGGCCCGGCCACCATGGTGCTGGGCCGGGAGGACGGGCTGCAAAGACACGAGGAGGAGGAGGAGGAGGACAATGAGGAAGAGGAGGAGGAGGAAGTAGAGGAGGAGGGTGGTGGCAGTGGAGGGGAGGAGGAGGAGGAGGAAGGTGGTAGTCAGGGGGAGGAGGAGGAGGACGAGGAGGAGGAAGGGCACAGTGAACAGGAGGAGGACGAGGAGGAGGAAGAGGAAGGACAGAGTGAGCAGGATCAGGACAGCTCAGAGGAGGAGGAGGGAGAGGAGGAAGAAGAGGTGGGGGTCAGACAGGGGCCAGCGGGGCGCAGGGGCAGCCGGGCAGAGCCCCTTCCCCACAGTCGCATGGCCACGCGGTTTTTTCCGAGGAGGCTGGGCAGGGTGGCAAGAGGCCCAAGCAGCCCCCCGGAGCGGCCCCGGCGCCAGCACGAGGGTCACAGGCCACTGATGGGCTGGGGGCCAAGGTGAAGCTGGAGGAGAAACAGCACCACCCGTGCCAGAAGTGCCCGCGCGTGTTCAACAACCGCTGGTACCTGGAGAAACACATGAATGTGACCCACAGCCGCATGCAGATCTGCGACCAGTGTGGCAAGCGCTTCCTGCTGGAGAGCGAGCTGCTGCTGCACCGGCAGACGGACTGCGAGCGCAACATCCAGGTGGGTCTCAGGCCGCTTCATGGTGGACGGGGCGGGACAGGGCCGAAGGCCAGCTGAGGCCACAGCCAGCCAGGCGGGGCCAGGCCAGAGCTGGGCCCTGGACATCCTGGGTCCTGCTGCCTGCATGGCCCAGACAGTCTGGGGAGACCAGACTTAGCCCCCTGGACAGCGGGCCCAGCCCGGGCCCAGGGTGAACCAAGAGGGTGGGGCCCAGGGTGGCGAGAACGTCAAGGAGAGCTTTCGGGAGGAGTCGGAGAGCTCTGGGCTTTGACACTTGGAAAGATGTGCAGATAAGACTAGAACAAGCAGTGCCCTTGGCCAGAGGGCCCAGGGAACGCGGTTGGGAGGATGAGAGGAGAGAGTTGCCTGAGCACATGAGACTGGGGACAGCCAGCTGTGAGGAGGGATGAGTCAGTGTTTTAGCAAATCCTTAGGGCTACCCTACGGCCAGCGGGGCCACTTTGTATAGTCTCACAGATCGGCAGTGCAGAAAAGCATAGATGAAGGGAGGAGGCATTTACCCAGAGCGGGGTGCCATTTTCCACTCGCCACAAAGGCCGAGTAGAGTAAGGGGCAGCTGGGCAGGAAGGAGTCCCTGCATTCAGCTCTTTGGAGATGCCAGCTGGCCTGGGCCTGGGGAAGAGGTACTGGATGAAAAATTTGGGAAGAGCAGAGGCTGCTGGGGCCAAGTGGGGAGCTGGGCTGGCTGCCAGGCGCGGGGCCAGCCCAAGTCGATGCCAGCCTGGCCTCTCAGATGTGGGCCGTGCAGGGCCAGCCAGGCTGGTTTTTACCTTTGTGGCTGAGCGGTGGTGAGGTGAGGCCGCAGGTAGGCAGGTGCTAATTGCCTGAACTAATTGCTAATTGCAGTGCCCTGTGGAGAAAGTGTTACCTGGGGGTTACCTGGTCTCTTGCTCCACCTTCCAGTACCTGTTCCCACTCGCCTGCCTGCTGGGCTGCTCTTTGGCTCTCCCCCTGCCACACACTTGAGCCTCCCTCCGAAGGAGAAAGATACTTGTGCTCCTTCCGACCCGGGCAACCTGACCACCCTGACCCAATTTCCGCTCGAGCCCTGGCCTTGCCTCCAGGCCTCTGGGGGTGTCCTGCAGGGATAGGCAGGAGGAGGGTTCAGGGGAAGAGGAGGAGGGGAGTGTGACCTCAAGTTTCCCACCACCCTGCCCTGCCCATGGGAGTTGGTACCTTCTACAGCGCTGCCCCCCCCCCCTTCCCACAGCAACCCTTTGAGACCTATCTCCTTGGTGATCTCCATGGCATCAGGGCATGGGTCCCAGCAGGGAGAGGAGGCTGCAGAGATAATGGCCCAACTCTGTCCGGACCTGTTATCTCAGAGGGGCTTCTCCACACCCCCTGTGGCCCTTCAGCCAGCCAGGTGTCTCCCCTCCAACAGCAGCGGGAGGATGAGCACAGAAGAGGGGCCTCCTGGGAGAAGTTCTAGTTAAGTTCAAGGATGAAGAGGGGACCAGGCTGCTGTCCTGGGTGGTGGGTGGGTGTTTAGGGAGCTCCTACCCGCAAGTCCCAGGATATCAGATCGCACGGGTCCTTGGTCTCAAGGGCTCTCTCTCCAGCACAATTCAGGCGGAAAAAAAAAGGAGGCCCAGAGAGGGGCAGCGACTTGTCCTATGTCACACAGTCCTAACTCAGAACTCGGGGCCTAAAGTCCTCTCGCCCCACAGTGTGTGACATGCGGCAAAGCTTTTAAGAAGCTGTGGTCCCTCCACGAGCACAACAAGATTGTGCACGGCTACGCAGAGAAGAAGTTCTCGTGTGAGATCTGCGAGAAGAAGTTCTACACCATGGCCCATGTGCGCAAGCACATGGTGGGTGAGTCTAGGCCCTGCGGGAGGCGCCTGAGGGCAGAGCTGGCCAGCTGGTGGGTGTGCTGGGAAGGACTCCACATCCAAGGGCAGTGTGAAGGGGTGAGAGGGCCCCTCTGGCGGGGAGGCCTGGGGTAGCTGGTTGCAGTGCCAGGTGTGGCCTGGGCAGGTCGCACGCTGCACAAGGCCTCCTGGACGAGATGGCAGGCGGGGACCAGAATCCAGCTGCACAGGCCCTGCCTCAGTTTGAGGACAGCTGTGCCTCTGATTCTTTCTTACCTTCGGGCCCTCACAGGGCTTCAGGCTCTTCTGAATGCAACCCTCCCCCCGGGTCACGCCTGGACACAGTGAGGAGGCTCCCCAAGTGTGTGTGGGGCCTCCCCTCTGCCTTGGGCATGGCTGGCCCTCCCTTCCTTGCCTGCTCATAGACTTGGGCTAAGGCAGTGGTCGGCAAACTCATTAGTCAGCAGAGCCAAATATCAACAGTACAACAACTGAAATTTCTTTTGAGAGCCAAATTTTTTAAACTTAAACTATATAGGTAGGTACATTGTTATTCACTTAATTAGGGTACTCCTAAGGCTTAGGAAGAGCCACACTCAAGGGGCCAAAAAGCCGCGTGTGGCTCGCGAGCCGCAGTTTGCCGACGACGGGGCTAAGGGAATGGTGGCCAAGGTGGGCCTTACCCCCTTTCTCCACCAGACGGTGCTGGGGGCCTCCTGCGTGAACTGCCTGGGACCTGGGACCTGGGACCCGGGACCTAGGTCTCAGCCAGGAGATGCTGGGGTGAAACAGGATTGGTGGCCCTTCCTGGGCTCAGGTTCACCAGCCCTGAGCTCTGCGGGGGTCCCCCTGCCTCCAGTTACTTCCTCCAAGATCTGCTTCATCTGTCCATGGGTTCTGGGGGGAGTGCCGCTAACTTTTAGAGGTGCCATCCCCTGTAAAGCCCCCACCGGTGAGCACAGTACCACCCCTAGCCTCCTTTTGTAGAGGAAGACACGGGCCCACCGAGGCCGTGCAGGGAGCCAGGGCTGGGCCAGGACTCGAGCTGAGGCCGGTCCCATTAGGATCCTTCCATCCGAAATTTTGGAGGGTGAGGCGGCCTTGGCTATTTCAGAGGCTAAAGAACCACAAGGGTTTCCTTCCACGCTTGTCGGACCAGCCTTCAGAGCAGATGGAGAAGGAGCCCACGGGGAAGGGGGGCCTGTCTGGGGGCAGCCCCAGGTCCTGGGACAGAGACTGAGGCAGGCCCCAGGGCAGGCGGGGTCCCCCAGAGCTGTGACCGCCATGTGCACGCCCTGTAGCTCACACCAAGGACATGCCCTTCACCTGCGAGACCTGCGGGAAGTCCTTCAAACGGAGCATGTCCCTCAAGGTGCACTCGCTGCAGCACTCAGGGGAGAAGCCCTTCCGATGTGAGGTGAGCTCCCCGCTCCCCCTGCCCCCGGCCGCCAGGGCAGGGCAGGGGGCAGGGACAGCAACTGTCTAAAAGCCAGGGGTACAGGGTTCTGAAGGAGAGGGGCCCTCCCTCTGATGTCTGTGGCCCTTGCTTCTCACTCCATCCTTTCCTGGTCACCCGCCGGCCTGCCCCCACCCCGCACTCTGCCATTCCACCCCTAACCCCAACCCCACACAGCCAGGCG